TTGTTTCAGTGGAAAATCTTAGCGTCTTTGATCTGTCTGCCTTACACAGGTGTTGACTTTGATGAGTTTTACTGTATATAACTTTCATAATTAGGAAATGAACTCACAAAGCAGAAAAAAAAGTTTCATTCTTTGTTACAGACTAAAAATTGGTTCAGAAGTCTCCATTTCTGTTATCCAAATCCGGGGATTTCTGGTGGCACAATAGTTCAGTGGTTGGCTACAAACCAAAAGGTTGGTGGTTTAAACACACACAGTGTCTCTGCAGGTAACACCTGTGAGCTGCTTCTATAAAATAAAGAGTCAAGAAAACCCTCTAGGGAAATTCTGCTCTGTCTGCCACAGGGGGCGGAGGGGTCCGAATCCACTCAACCACACCCATCAGCAACAACGTTATTCAAACACACGATTTTAAGGGATCAAGGAAAGATCTTAATTGAGGATGCTTGATTTCTCTTTTCTCTTCCAGGCCAACACTGTTCAGCACTGGACAGCTAAATGCACGGTTGGACCAACCATTCCTCAGAAACCTTATACAGGGCCGTTATGGGTCAGAACGGACTCGACAGCCCTTTGCAACCACACAACATGAAGCAATGTCCTATAAATGGTCACACTGATCAAAGTTACTAATTACGCGAAGCTTCTTGAATTCAGTGCCATGAAATTCTGATGGAGTCCTTAGAGCGTGTCATAAATTCTGAAGCAAGAAGACAGTCTGCTTCTACACATCCAAAGCTAATACTGCGCCAACAACAAAAAGTTAGTCTTTTAAAATCTGTGGTGTGAGAAACTGCATTACAATGACCATTCCTAACTAACTTTTAACATTTTCTTGTGCTGTGGGTGAAAACGTACATAACCAATGAGTTTGTTATGCCTAGAATTCGGGGTCCCCAAAGATTTACAACCTCGAAAACCCTATACAGGGTCGCTATGGGTCGGAACCGACTTGATGGCACATAACAACAACAACAACAAAGACCACCCAGGAGCCGATGCAAATACATAAGGGAAGTTTATTCAAGCTCGAGCCAGGTCTCTAACCTTATCCAACGCATCGGAATAGGGAAAGAGCCCTGAATTCATTGTCTGTAGGGTTTTTATAGAGTTTTCAAACAGCTCAGGTTTCTCAGCTTTACAATCTTTGGATTGGTTGACAATTGGCAAACTATGAGATGTTACAGTTTAATTGGTCAGGACTGGTGGTCTTTGTTCTTAGGCTAGGGTAAAGGAAAACATCTGGCCTCTGGCCTTGAGCTGCCTGGCTATTTATACATATATCATTTTCTTGGAGCTAGAGGACGTGTTCAGGCTAATGTACAGAATGGAGATTGACCTTGTCTCTGGAGGGAACTAAAAACTGAGGCCTTGTCTATTTAAAATGCTTTCCTGAGCCTGACTAGAGTTTAGTCAAGCAGTCTCTAGGTAGGCAAAATTAGGTAAAATCAGTTTGGTCCTTACAAGTTCTCCCAATCAATGGGTCAATGGTTCATACACAAATTGTTCTGTGGCAATGGCTGTAATTCTCGTAATGCGTCAGCATTCTCCCCGTTTCCTCCCTGGGGGGTTCCCTGCTTCCATTTGTGTCTGGTTTCCCTGTCTCCCCTTCCCCCATCTCCTCATCTTTGGTCCTGGACACATGTTGCCTTGTGGGTCTCAGATAGCTGATGGTTCTGAGGAGCACATTTCCCACATTGTTTCACGGTCTTGTCTAGTATTTGGTTCTGGGCACATGCTGCCTTGTGGGTCTTATGAGGAGAGCATCCTCCATGTCGTTTGACAGTCCCATCTAGTATTTGGTGGGAAGGTGGCCTCTGGGAAGTCTTCGGTTTCAAGACAGGAGGTTTTCTCTGGCTAGCAGCCTCACGCTTCCAGTACGTCTGGTCTTTTACTTTGGTTTTGAATTTTGTTCTACTTTTTCTTTCTTTCTAACTTGAACCTACTATTGTGGTTCTGGGCGGAGTGGAGAGTAGTGATAAATGGACAGCTCTGAGTTCTTCTGGTCTCAGGATAGAGGAGGCTGCGGTTTCTGAGGGCCATTAGCTCTTTGGATGAATTGCTTTCTTGAATTCTTGTTTTCCTTTTTTTTTGCACCAGATGGGAAGACCAATAATTGCTTCTTAGATGACTGCTCACAAGCTTTGAAGGCCTCAGATAAAACTTACTAGACTAGGATGTCGAACTTTATGAATGTGTTTTGCCAATTGACCTAGATATCCCAAGAGTATAGTCCTTAGCCTTCAGACCGGTGGTTCATTCAGTGCTGACGGCTAAGTCATTTCTACACCAGTGCCCCTGGTGTGCCCTCATACATGAGCTTGTGAAAAAATGAAACTGAAAGACAATGTTTTTTTTTCCCATGAACTTTTGAAGCCCCCTTTATAGTGGATATGAATTGGACTGCTAACCTCAACGTCAGCAGTTCAAATCTACCAGTTGTTCCGTGGGAGAAAGATCTGGCTCTCTGCTCCCATAAAGATTTACAACTTTGGAAACCCTATAAAGGGTCGCTATGAGTCAGAACTGACTCCATGGCACATAATCATCCTCACCAACCATATAGACCAGTATGCAGCCTTTGCAGATATGTACGTAGGAATTTACGTCTGGGTGTATACTCCATACGACTACCCTCATCTATGTAGTAGACATATTGGCCACTGTTAGTTATTACTAGGATGGTGGGACTGTCTGCCTTAGGGTATTTACCAGAGGGGCTCTTTTCATTTTAATGTTTAAGAAGTGAGACAAAACTGGTTCTGCTGTCCAGTTCTTAATACATCTCTAGAGTGGCCATCAAAAACAAAACCAACAAAGAATGTTTTTTTCATTGCGAAAGTAATACATGATGAGAAAATCAGTCAAATGTTACACAAGAGATCAAAAGGCAAACTCTCAAGGTCACAATGACAAAGTCAGAAAGACTGCTTGGATGTTCTGGGATGAGAGAGTCCTGAGGAACTTCCATTTTTTGAGGCCCTGCACAGACAGTTCTCTTGTTTGCAGGATGCTCGGTGTCAAACCCACTTCCACTGAGCATCCTTTTCATCTGAGAGGAAATGATCCAGTGGGTGGATGGAACAGTCTAAACAATTACTTAAGAAGCAGAAAATCTGTCTCATTAAAGCAAAAACAATCTTAGCGCTTTCCTTGCAGGCTGTGCGTGGCACCACCGGTGCCTAGGTAACATCCCTAGCTCTCTTCTCTGTGAACAGAGCCCTAAACTCAGGCAGGTCGGCCTCCCCCTTGCTTCCTTTGCAACTTGTGGTAGTCATGTGATCACCTGGGGGACTCCCTCCTCTCCTTCCCTAAATCAAGAACAGATCCTTGCCTTCTTCCTGCCTACGTCCCTGGAGTAGGGACACAATGTCTGACCAGGAGGTAACAAAGCAGAGAAGCAAATATCAAGTTTAGGGAGGTGGAGCAGAAACTGGAAGGAGCCTGGAACTTAAGACTGTTATTGGGCAGCTGTGTTCACCCTGGACTGCAGCGCTCAGACTTACGTCAAGTAAATGGCCAGTCCAGTTCAAACAAATGGACAAAACCCACCCATTGTTCTTTAGCCAAGTCGGACTCATGGTAATCCCAGGTGTGTGAGGAGAGTCGTGCTCCACGGTGACTGACGGCGGAAGCAGTTCACCAGCCTGCCTTCCGAGGTGGACTCACACCTTTTGATTAGTACTCAGTATGGTAACCGGTTCACCACCCAGGGACTCCAGCCCCACCCACCAAAACCCCCCAGTGAGTCGATTTAGCCTCATAACGACCTTATTAGACAGAGTAGAACTCCTCATAGGGTTTCCAAGATTGTAAATCCCATGGAAACAGGCTGCCACATCTTTCTCCCATGGAGTGGCTGGTAGGTTTGTACTACCAACCTTCTGGTTAGCAGCCAAGTGCTTTAACTACTGTTCCACCAGGGTTCCTTCAGCAGCCCACCAGGAACACTGATAAGCTATCAATCAGCTGCTAGGGTTAGAATAAAGAGTTGTTTAGACATTGGAGTCCCAAATATCTGTTAGCCGGACTCCTTTTCTTAGGGAGATAGTGCAGGATGTGTTCCATCAAAACGAGGGTGTAAACACTGAACAACTAAGGCACGGGCTACGTATGAAGGCCTGAGACAGTAACACAGACAAGAGGTGACTGAGAAGCAGTAATGCCAGAGATGGAGGCAGAGACGATGACGTGGAGAGATGGAGCAGCTGGGGACTTTAGACCCAGAGAGGGAGAGGGTCTGTGTGCTGACGACTGGGGGGCGGGCTTGCAGGGTATACCCTTTAGTTGGATGATGCATGGAGGGGATTGTAACCATGGCAATGAAATGATATACGATAGGATGAATATGAAACTGATGTTCTCCCATGTAAACTATCAGAGAATTCACAATAAAACATTTAAAAAAATTAATAAACAATACTTGCTTAAAAATAGTCTGTTCATAGTAACTTAAGAAAATAAAAATGCCAAAAATTGTGTCCTTTTCCTCAGAGGCTAGGGTAGAATTTCTGTTGTTTTTTTTCCCTTTAATTTCCCTTTAATTACTGTTATTACTTGTACGGTGTTGTTGTTGTTAGGTGCATCGAGTCTGTACTTGTACTGTAGGGCTGTGTATACGATGGTTTTTACCTCTGTTGTCTTTAGTTCAGCCTAATTGCTTTGGGCCGACCTTACAGTGCAAGTGGGCTTCCAAAAGTTGGTGGGAAATCCCTTTCTCTTCTAACTCCACTTTTCCATGAACCTTATAAAGCCCCACTACCTATTGTCTTTCCCTTGACCCTGCCAGGGTGGGATTTCTTCATGAAACATGAATTGCCTGTAGGGGAAACCACCCGAGGTCGACCCCAAGTGCCCAGTAGGCACCTTCTGTCACTCACAGGCTGGGGCAGGGGGCTTTCTGGTTGCCAGGGACAACAATGCATGCTCGCTCTGAGACACGTGCCCTTGAGGCGTGGCGTCGGGCTGATTGTAAACCCAGTCCTGGCCCAAAGCATTACCTGTTTGAATAAAGCGTCGTCTTGTCCTGTGGATAATGGTCATTGACGTACAAGGAAGAGGACGAAATTGTAGTTGTCAGGGAAGCAGCTTCGAACAGCGAGGGGGTGCTGGGCACCAAGTCGGGGCGGCGGCGGGTCCCCAGGGCTGGACAAGGAGAGAAAGTAACATACACACTGGTGAATTTCAGCATGAGGGTGCCGGTGGTCTGGTCTCCGAATGCGCTCAAAGCACTGGTTTCATGGACCGGGCTGCAAATTAAATGAGGAACCAGCTGCGCATTTCTGAACCACTGCCCACATGGAAGACAGTTTCTGGAAAAAAAAGCTAGACCAACAGAGAAATGCCTGAATTTGCAAAATGGCTTATGAAAGTAGCTTCGCGAATGTGCTGAGGTTGTAAATTTCCACCAAAAAAGCAGCATCTTTCACCAATGGAGTGGCTGGTGGGTTCAAACCGCCTACCTTTTGGTTAGCAGCCCAATGCTTAACCCCTGTGCCACTCACTCATCTTTCAAGAGAGGGAGGCCAGAGGAAAAATCTAGAATGTCACTTGCCTCTATGAGATTAAAATCTGTTTAGCACATTGAGAAAAGTGTTTGATAAAATCCAATCCTCAGTCTTGATGAAATTTCTTAGCAAATGAGGAGCGAGAAGGAAGTGCCTTAACTTGATTTGGACATCAGACTGCCAACACGCTTGCCAACAGTGAAATGTTAGAAGCATTCTCTTCAGAATCAGGACAGCTCAGGGACCTGCCATTCTTATCTCTATTCATCATTGTACCGGGTGCCCTCGCCAGTGAACAGAGAGAGAAAAAAAACCAGAAAAAGATATGCGAGCGGCAAAAGGCGCCTTTGTGGCTCACTGGGTTAAGCACTGGGCTACTAACAGATTTGTTGGCAGTTCAAACCCACTAGTCGCTCCTTGAGAGAAAGACGTGGCAGTCTGCACCTATAAAGAGGACGGTCTCAGAAATTCTGTGGGGGCAGTTCTCCTCGGTCCTAAGGGTCACTGTGAGCTGGAATCCACTCCACAGCAGTGAGGTTTTATGCAGCAGCAAAAATCCCAAAAAACAACCACACCATAAATTCAATTATTTAAAAAAGATACCATTTAAACAGGCAAAAAAAGAAAAAATCAATGTCTATATTGGGAGATGTACAGCCAAGGCACGTCATGTGCAGGCACCAGCTGACTGTTAGTGGAGACTTGTGTGTTATGATAGTGGATGGGGTTTCAGTGGAGCTTCTGGACTAAGAAGGACCAGGAAGAAAGGCCTGGTGATCTCCTTCTGAAAATCAGCCAATGAAAACCCTGTGGATTACAATGGTCTGAACTGCAATGGATCATGGGTCTGGTACAGGATCAGACAGCATTTTATCCCATTGTGCATGTAGCCATCATAACAGGCAATAAAACAACCATAACATTTCAATATCCACCCAAGGAATTAATCTAACAAAGTATATAGAGAACAATCCAAATTTCATTTAAATTCCTTAAAGAATGAAGTAAATGAAGGGCTTTAAAAAGTTCATGGAAAAACAGAACTAACAGATAACAGAATTTTCCCATGAACTTTTTTAAGCCTCTGGAAGATAGGTGTCCACCAAATGCACATATACACATGTGTTTGCATGGATACACACACATATACACACATGCATACATACATACACTGAGTTCATTAGGAATTCAGGAGTGGAATTCTAGGAGATTTTTTCTTTGGGGGGTATTTTTGTATTTTCTGAGTTTTTTATTGTGAGTTTACATTCCTTGTCTTTTTTTTTTGTAAATCCCATGTTTTTACCTTCTTCATCGAGGCTGCTGAAGCTCTGCCCTTCCGTCAGCAGATCATGCTTCTCGCCCTTCCACTCGGGGCTGAGGGAGGACACAATCTCCTGTGAGGCCGCCTTCAGGGCAGCGATGGAATTGCACCGTTTCTTAGACGGCGAGGCTTTCACAGCTGAGTGAGAAGGAAAGGGGAGATGGAGACGCTTGCTGTAAAACTACATTCGCATTTTCTTTTTGTGAAAATATTCAGTCATGCACCATTTCAACAATTTTTATGTACAACGTGGTGGTATTGATTACACTCTTCAAGTTGAGCAAGCATCCTCTCCAACTTGGTTCACCACCAATGACTTCAACTCCCGACCTCTAAGCCTCTCCTCCAGCCTTTTCAGTTGCTGTTCAGTTAGATCACACACAGATAACTGTCTACAGGAAGCACATTGCACAAGGCAGACATAGTTTACTTATTAAGACAAACCATCATTTTGATTTAAGGTTTAAATTTTAGAGATTACCTCTGGGCAATCATTTCAGGGGTTCATCTAGCCTTAAGGAATCCAGAAAGTCTGGATTCCATTGAGAATTTGAAATTCTGTTCTGTATTTCCCCCTCCCCACCATCCTGTTGGTCAGAAAATTTCTAGAATCTTTGATCAAAACAATCTATCTACATTCATATTTTATTAACATTTTATTTATGATTTATTAACATTTTGGTAATTACTGAATAAAATTCAAGATGCTTTATTTGATATCTATGAATAAAGGTAAAAATAAAACAAAAACAGGACAAACTGCCCTCGAGCTGACACTGAATCACGGAAACCTCATGATTGTGTCACAGTAAAACTGCACCCCAGAGAGTTTTCAATGATTGATTTTTTTCAGGAGTGGATCATGAGGCCTGTTTACATGATGTCTCCGGGTGCCCCTGAACTGCTAACCTTTTGGTAAGTCGCTGACTGCTGAACCATTTCTACCACCCAAGGACTCCATAAATGAGGAAAAGGAGATCAAATCATCTGTGTTTCGGTCATTGTATTTGCTCAACATGGCTTGACTTTTCTCAGGCTTCCTCTGAATACGTTAGCATAGATGAGCCTCTGCAGGTTTTGAAAGAAAGTCTTATTTGAGCTACGACTCAAATGTTCCAGGGCTTTTGCTCCTCCAAACAATGTTTTTCTAGTGCTGGGAGGAGGGTAGGTTGGTTGGTAAACTCACGGCGAATTCTCATGACCCTTAAGTTTTATTAACTCAGGACTGGGAATTTCTAAAGAAGCCAGTGTTTAATCTAATACGCACATTGCCCAATTTAGCCAAGCTGCTACCTATGGTTGTTTTTAGTGACTTTCCACTGACACTTCCTACCCTTTGGGTCTTTTCCAGTTATGGTTGTGGTCCAAACAGAAGTGTGTTGGGAAACTTGAGCATTGCAAATAAACTAGCCCATCCATCAGAAACATTGGAGGCTGTGATCTCACGGCTGGAAGGTCAACAGATGCCCCTTAGGCTGCTGGCAGGCCACCCCATTTATGTGCACTCTTTGTAGCAATAATTCTTCTCGGTTTCCTGGTGCGAGAGGATTTCCTTGGAGGGTGAGGGGAGGGGAGGTGAGGCTTGTCCATGCTTTTCCCTGAACTTGCTTCTGGAAGCATTTCCCCTCCTTAGGAGGTTTGCAGAAAAGGGGGTGTCCCGACAGCAGGTGCATTAGAGTAATTGTGTCTAAGTCTTAGGAATCCTGGATTTTATACAGTTCATTGGGGGGGGGCAGCTTGAAGAGAAGGGGCTGTTAATGTGTCCCCTGAGAAATCTCATGATAAAAATGTGAGCTGAACAATAAATAACGGAGGCCAGTGGAGTATAGCACTTAACTGAAAGGTAGACAGTTTGAAACCACCCTTCGGCTCCCCCAGAGAAAGGCCTAGAAGTCTCCTCCTATAATGACGTTAGACTAAAAAACCCAATGGGACAGTTCTACTCGGTCACATGAGTTGGAACAATATCAGTAACAAAGCACTTCTCCTGCAGGTTTTAGTTTATAAAGGTAACACTCGTGCGCCACGTTAGTTGTGGTCAACTGTGACTCACGGTGACCCCACATGCATCAGAGTAGAACTGTGCTCCACAGGGTTCTCAGTGACGGACTTTCAGGAAGCAGCTCGCCAGATCTTTTTTCTGAGGAACCTCTGGCTGGACTCGAACTGCCAACCTTTCGATCAGCACTTAAGCACATTAACCATGTTTGCACCACACAGGGGCTTTACACGTTCCATTTCTCAGACTGGCCATGTGGTCTTCTGAAGGAGAGACACCCTCTTATAGGTTAAAGATGGAGAGCTAGCTCAAGATCATATGGTTAGAAGGCATTAAACGTGGGGACCTTTCTTCTCTTTTATGCTAAACCGACCAAAGTGCTATCATTCACCTGTTTTGCATGTAAAGTCTAGAAACGGACTGAACATATCTAGTTTGTTGCTGTCTGACCCACAGCAACCCTGTGTGAGTGCGGAGAACTGCTCCGTCACGGCTAATTCTCTGACGTGAGGCAAGAACTCAGGAACTCAGGGCAGGGCTCAGGAACGCTGGACTTAACGGCTCCTTGAAGCCTGCTTGAAGGAGCCCTATGTGGTGGCACACTAGGTAAAGCACCTGGCTGCCAACTGAAAGGTTGGCAGTTCAAACCTACTAGTTGCTCCACAGGAAAGAAACCTGGTGACCCATAAAGACTGCAGCCCTGAAAGCCCATCTGGGACAGTTCCAGACTGTCTGATAGGGTCTCAGAGTCAGAATCTAAACAACCACAGGCAACAACTTGTTCCTTATCAGCGTCACATAGGATGAGGGGCTGAGAGGACTCAAGAGCAAACCTCTGCCAAGACCGTGTGGCTCCCAAAGAAAACATTTACTTTTGTCTTAAGTGGAGAATTCTTCCTCCCAGTAGCGACCAGAGCCTCATCCAGCAGATACTGAAATTCCTCAGGGCCTCCTTGTGAATGGACAACTCTGAAAGATGTTTGACCGCTGGCTGTTTTGTGTTCTCTGATACAGCTCCTGGATTTACCTTTGGCTTAGCAAACTACACTCAGGAAGACCCACTGGTACAATGGTTAAAAAGCTGGGCTGCAAATTCAAAGGTCGGTGGTTCGAACCAACCAGCGGCTCTGCAGAAGAAAGTCTAATCTGCTTCCATAAAGATGATGGCTAAGAAAACCCTACAGGGCATTTCTTTGCTCTGTCACATGGGCGGGTTATGAGTCCAGACAGACTCCATGGCACCCCACACCAAGAGCAGAGAAGACAGAAAGAGGGACAGGAGAGAAGCAGGGGACGAGCCGAAAGGTAGAAGGAGCCCGGATCACAGGAGGACTTGGAAGTTGAGTGAAGGAAGGACTCACTACATACACCACAGATGTGTGGACTTTTACTTGTTAAGTACGGTCTATTTTTAGACAAGGACGTGGCATGAGAGATATCACTGCTGACGTCACATGGATCTTGGCTGAAAGCAGAGACTACCAGAAAGATGTTTACTTGTGCTCTACAGACCGTGAAAAGCTTTTTAACTGTGTGGATCATGATAAGCTACAGTCAACATTATGGAGAATGCGTATTCTGGAACACTTAATTGTGCTCATGAGGAACCTGTTCATAGACCAAGAGGCAGTTTTAAATTCTTTACTGTGACCACACTTAGGGAAGACTGGCTCAGACAGGGTCAAGACTGAATAGAGACCAGCAGGGGTCCACAGCGCTTACGTAAAAATCAAAAGGCAAAACCACCAATGGCTGGATTTCAGAGTAAGGCTGTGAAAACAGACAGCCGGTCCTGTATTTCAGGGTGAGGCTCTAGAAGACTGTGGAGGGACTGCCTTCCAGTGGCACCGGAGAGGGAGCAGCCAGAGGGGGGCGCCAGCATTTTGGGGTGGGGCCACAGGGTGGACTGTGTGGCCTTCAGAGGAATGTGACACTGGAGGAAGGTTACACCTGAGACAACCCACCCTTACAACTGCAACCTTCAATGGTGTATTTATAACTAGTCATGCTACAATGCTAAGTGACAAATTAAAACCCAAACCCACTGCTGTCTAAGTCCAATCAGACTCACAGTGACCCGCTCGGACACAGGGATGCCCCAGAGGATTTCCCGAGTTATCAGTCTTTACAACTCTTTCTCCTATGGAGCTACTGGTGGGTTGGAACTGCTGACCTTTTGGTTAGCAGCTGAGAGCTTGAGCACTGTGCCACCAGAGCTGCTTAGGTAAAAGGCAGAGGACTTGTTTTTACAACTGTGCTCCACCAGGCTACTGGCTCCAAATTAACACACAAAGTGGGCAGGAAGTATGTATTTGAATGTCAGTGGTGGGTGTCTCTAAGTTGTCACAAGTCAATACCCATCTTTGACAATGAGTTTACACTGAAGGTGTCTTACTTTTGTTAACAGATAACGCCAAACAATATATGTTTTATTTGCTGTGGAGTCGGTTCTGACTCATAGTGACCCTGTACAGGGTTTTCGAGGCTGTAAGTCTTTACGGGAGCAGAAAGCCTCATCTTCCTCCTGTGGAACAGCTGGTAGTTTCGAACTGCTGACTGTGAGGTCAGCAGCCCAATTTGTAACCACTATGCTACCATATATATATATGTATAAATATACACACACATATATATATTTTTCCCAATTATTCCAACCAATTTTTTATTCTTTCAATATTTTAGCATATTTAGACCTTTTCTTCTAATGAGTACACTTCAAACTTACCTTTTTTTTTTTAAGTTTTTATTGTGAATTAAGTGATAGTTGTGATAGTTTACACGGGAGAGCATTGGTTTTATACTCATCATTTCATTGCAATGATTACAATCTCCTTCCTGCATCATCATTCAACAGTATTTGGTTCTATTTCCTCTTTTTTTTTTCTGTTGTACACAAAAACACTCAGGAATATATAATCATTTAAACAACAAAAGGAACATTCTGTAAGCCTGCCTCCTAGCCGCCAGCACACAGCCTTTCTCTTTCCATGAGTCTAGTGTCCTCAGCTGCTCCCTCTCTCCAAGTCCTCATCTCTGCCGCCATCTCTGGTGTCACTGCCTCTCTGGATAGGGTCCCACATTCTGCTCATGTTCTTCTATTTTGATGGTCCTAGGGTCCTCTGCTCAATGTTATCTGGTTTTGTTTTGATTTTTACCTAACATTTTATCATGAGAGTTTTTCCACATTGCCTAGAGGGCTCGATGATTTTTACTGGGTGCATAGTATTTTCATAAGTGGCTATAGTATAATTTACTTAATTGCCTCCTTACTATTATTGATGATAGAATGTTGTTAAGACTAAGAACTCAGTCAGTGAACAATTTTATGCATTTTTAGCTACACTGTAGAACTAATGATTAAAGTGGTAAATAAATTAAAGCGCAGTCTCCCTCACTTCAGCACTTTACTTGAAAGATCAAATGACTGGCTTTTCAAACACTTTAGAAGTTCTTTGTTTATTCATCACTCCAATTGGAAATGTTTACCCTAACTTTGTAGGGACAAAACAGACACAAAATCATGTTCAACAGATGAACCTGCAAGCCAACAAGAGCTCATTGACAGCTAGGCTCCCACGCAGAGATTATGCTTCCTTCTCAGGGGTCGAGGGTAACAAGTAAGCATGGAAGGCATGCCAATCAATATTATAAGAAAACTTTGTCTTCTATAAGTACAAATCATTCTTTTTCAAAGTTAGTTTTGCATGTGTGCATACGTGTGGCCAAACTGTCATTTTTGGGTTTATGAAATTGTACCAACAAGACAATTTCATCACACGACAACCCATGAAAGAGTAGGAGGAGTCTCCTTTCTCACATAAAACACTAAGCAAATAGTACAAAGTCGTTTTGAAATTTTCATAAATATTGACACAAAGGAGAAGAAACTCCCACATTAATTCCTAACATTTTCGTATATCCCAGGAGAATTTTGCCCTGTACTGAAGTATGCAGACTAATAGTTTTATATGGAAAAATATTATATCATATTTGATGCTGTTAAGGGCTGTAGAGCTGGTTCCAACTGATGGTGACCGTGGATAGGGTTTCTGAGGAGTGGCTGGTGGGCTTGAACTGCTGATTTTGTAGTTAGCAGTCCAGCGCTTATCCTATTTGTTGTTGTTGTTGCTAAGTGCCGTAGAGTTGGTTCCGACCCATAGCAACCCTGTACAGGGTTTCCGAGGCTGTATATCTTCACGGGAGCAGAAAACCTTATCTTTCTCCCGTGGAGTGGCTGGTAGTTTTGAACTGCTGACCTTAAGGTTCACAGCCCGATTCGTAACCACTACACTACCAGAGCTCCTTGTGCTTATCCTATAGTATCACAATACAATATTATATTTCAGGAACCCTAACAGGAGTCCTGATATATCACTGAGGGCTAATGCAAATCAGACTGCAGTCATCTGAATGGCAAGGTCAGTGGTTCAAGCTCACCAGCTGCTCCTTGGAAACCTATACAGGGTTGCTAAAGGTCGAAATCGACTCGACGACACTTCACAACAACAATAGTACACTGGTTAGAGCGCTAAGCTTCAAACTGGAAGGGTCACTGGTTCAAACCACCAGCCAGTAACTCCATATATGCTGTGATATATTTAACATCTTATATAATATATGCTATGATATATTTAACATCTTATATAATATATGCTATGATATATTTAGCATCTTATATAATATATGCTATGATATAT